GGTCGATAGGGAGGATTTTTTGTTTTTGTTTTTTCAAAATAACTGAAGATTTTTTAAATCTTTGTTTTTTTTTTTTTTTTGTTGATGTTGTTCAAAAAAAAACTTTACTTTAACAAAAAATTAAACCAAAAACCACCCCACGGCCCACGGCCCACGGAATACGGCCGTTTTTTTTTTCGGCTTGATTTGTTTCCAATTCCACAACCAAAATTAAAAACCAATTTTTTTTTTTTAAAAAATTTAAAATTAAAAAAGGGGGATGGGGGTAGGTCCCCTTTTTTGTTTTCCAATTCCCCCCCCCCCCGCCGCCCACCAAGCGGGGGGGGTGCCCCCCCCCCCTCCTTCTGAACCCCCTCGATCATTGTCAACACAGGCTAACATGCATCCTTTCACAAACAGCGCGAGAGGTACGAGACCGCCGCTAACGGCCACTGCACCGCCCATGTTGTATATTGACGTCGCAACAGCAAGACTTTCCTCGCCCGGCTCTGCGAGCAGGCTGAGCGCTACGATGGTGAGTCCAAAGTGCAGTGTGCACGTCTGGTTCTGCAACGCCTGCGCAAAAGCTAACGGTCCGTCTTTGCAGAGATGGTTACGTATATGAAGGTCAGTCACTACAGCGAGAGCACCAGTTGCACATGGTTCAACTTTTCACATACTGATCGATTTTACAGGAAGTTGCCAAGGTATGCCGCATGACGATGGCCCAGCCCGAGCCCAACCCAGCCCAGCCAGCCCAGCTCGTCGCGAGACCAGCAGGCGCCTGTCCCACCGACAACGGCCCCTCCATGCCTCTCGGCACCAGCTAACAAAGTCTAGGTCGCCGGTGAATTGACTGTCGACGAGCGCAACCTCCTCTCTGTTGCCTACAAGAACGTTGTCGGCACAAGACGCGCGTCGTGGCGCATCATCTCCTCGATTGAGCAGAAGGAGGAGTCCAAGGGCTCTGAGAAGCACGTTGGCACCATCCGTGACTACCGACAGAAGATTGAGACGGAGCTCGAGAAGGTTTGCCAGGATGTCCTCAACGTGCTCGACGACTCCCTCATCCCCAAGGCCGAGTCTGGCGAGTCCAAGGTGTTTTACCACAAGATGTACGCAAGACAGCCTGGTCTATTCAAAACACAGGGCCCTAACAAGACCACAGGAAGGGTGATTACCACCGCTACCTCGCCGAGTTTGCTTCCGGTGAGAAGCGCAAGGTTGCTGCGACGGCCGCACACGAGGCTTACAAGGTATGACGCAATGCAACCCACTTTGGGCCAAAACAAACGCCAGCTGACCCCCTATCACAGACGGCCACGGATGTCGCCCAGACTGAGCTCACACCCACGCACCCCATTCGTCTGGGTTTGGCCCTGAACTTCTCGGTCTTCTACTACGAGATCCTGAACTCACCCGACCGTGCTTGCCATTTGGCCAAGCAGGCTTTCGACGATGCCATTGCCGAGCTCGACTCTCTGTCGGAGGAGTCTTACCGTGACAGCACGCTGATCATGCAACTTCTCCGCGACAACCTTACCCTCTGGACCTCATCAGACGGTAACGAGGCCGAGCCCGCTGCCCCAGATGCGCCCAAGGAGGAGCCCAAGGACGGCGAGGAGGCACCTGCTGGAGCCGACGTCAAGCCTGAGGTCAAGCCTGAGGAACAGCCACCGGCTGCTGCTGCTGCTGCTGCTCCTGGCGCTGCTTAAGCACCTTCTCCCTTTCTCGACCTTGTCCATTCTCGGCCACCGTCATCTGTTTTCGAATAGACGAAGGGGTCCGGCAACGAGCGTCTGTGGAGTTTGTGTTTGTGTTCAATGATTTCCAAAATTTGGCTTTGGCAGCAAGCGGGTCAGACGGTCGAATTACCCATGACTGATGTTTTCCCTTTACTCTCCCTATCACCGCCGCTTTCCCTGTTGGAGCATGCAGTTTGCTCCTGTTGCACAGCTTGCGCAACTTTGCATACCACCAATGTCCTCTTCGCAAGGGGTATTGGACTGCTTATCCGCAAAAATGGGTGATGAGTGTGTGGCTACCTAGATACGACCTCCAATTCCCCCCTTGTTTTCGTTTGTGGCAGCACATGGATAACTCGACTATGGTGGAGTAGGACGTTTAAGCATCTTTTGGCATTGGTTTGGTGCAGGATAGGTTTTTCAATAGTCCACGGAGCAGGTTCGCAAGTCTCTGGTGGGCTCTTATACTGCACTCTTAGCTGAGCCAAAGGAATCGTTATTTCAAGAGTTGTAGCAGTCGTGTCATGTGAAAGTCATCCTAGAAATGTTGATATGCCAAAATGATAGGAGGGGAAGGAGCATTTTGCCACGCGCCCAACCAACCCCACGGAACGTCTGCAAGCTCTTGCCCTGCCCCACTACAAGCGAGATTGGGCCTGCCCCGCTCCCAGTTTCTTTGAGTTTCTGTCCACTTACACAGCCTCGCGTCACAGGCCTCATCGATTGTAATTTCCTTGGCCATTTGAAACGAGTATATCGATAGTCTTCTCAGATTAGATCCATCTACACCTAGCCCATTTTCTTTCTAAACGATGCTGGTTGATGTTTTCCCCTCTCCCTGACACACACGCCCCACGCCGACGCAATCCATGAACAGCCCGATGGTTAAAGGGAAAAGGAAATGAGAAGAGGGAGTTGAAGATTTTTCTTGTATTGGGTCTGGTTCTGGGTCTAGTTCTGGTAGGCGGTAGGTGGAGTAGAGTGGGGGGACAGGGATAGGGAGGGGGATTGAGGGAGGGATTGGGATTAGGGTTGGGGTAGGGATAGGATAGGGAGAAGTGGGATTATAAGGAGAAGAGGGAGAGGGAGAGGGAGAAGAGGGAGAGGAAGAAGAGGAAGAGGGAGAAGAGGAAGAGGGAGAAGAGGAAGAGGAAGAGGAAGAAGAGGAAGAGGGAGAAGAGGAAGAGGGAGAAGAGGAAGAGGGAGAAGAGGAAGAGGGAGAAGAGGAAGAGGAAGAAGAGGAAGAGGAAGAAGAGGAAGAGGAAGAAGAAGTTGTTCAGGATTGGAGGGGAAAGGGAAAAGGTGTTTATTAGAAGTGAGATTGCTGCGCAAGGCAAGAAGAACGAAAACACTTCTAGATTGAAGGAGTCTGGGAATTTCGTCTGAGGCGAGAAAGAAAGGGACGGCAAGGGAAAGAGACCAAGAGAGCAAAAGATGCAACCCTCTGCCATGGCATACACAAAAGATTACTACCGCATCCTAGGTCTCATCGGGGGCACATCTTCTCCCCCTTCATCCTCTTCTGGATCCTCTTCCACAAATATCAGCACAGAAGAGGTCCGGCGCGCCTACAAGCTTGCCTTGTTGAACGCGCACCCAGATAAGAGGGGGGCTGCGGGTGAGCACAGAGAGGATAAGAGGGAGAGTGGTAGGCAGAATGGGATGGGGCATGGTTGTGATCCTGGCCTTATAACCCAAACAAGCCAAAGCCAAACCACAACACGCCACACAATCGACGAAATCAAAGAAGCCTACGCGCACCTCGCTGACGCGCAGAAGAAGGCGGAATATGATCGCTGGTGGACTGTTCAGGCCCGTTGGGGCGGCGGTGCTGCTGGTGCTACTACTACTACTTCTGGAGCTGGTGCTGGTGTAGACGCAACAGCAACAAACGCATTCAATACCGACTTCATCCTTGGTCTTGAAATCCTCGATCTCGCAGACTTCGAGGCTAGACCGCGGGCCCGCTGTGAGCCGGCAGAGCAACATGGGCTCGCAGGAGCAAGAGACGACAACCCTGACCCCAACAATGTACCGCGACACTGCCAAACCGGTCACAATGATACACAAGCTGCGGGAAAAGATGGCCATGATGATGTTGGTGATGCTGATTACCACGACAACGACAACGAACAAGCCCAAACAGAATGGACACGGAGTTGCAGATGCGGCGCCCAGCCCGGCTTCGCCATCTCAGAACACGAGTTGGAAGCTGCGGAGCGCAGGGGCGAGAGGGAGGTGCTGGTTGGCTGTGGGGGGTGTAGTTTGTGGGTGAGGGTGGGGTTTGATGTCGAGGACGATTGATGGTGTTTGGGGTGGGCGTGGCGGGATGGCGGCTTTTTTTCTGTTTTTTAGGCATGTTGGGTTTTGAGGTGGATGGGTGTTATGTGAGAAGGAGGGTTGTTTACTTGGGTTGATGGGTCTGGGGTTTTTTTTTGGATGGGCGTGTGTCGGTTTTTGGTTTCGTTGTGGATGGATTGATGGGCGTATAACATTAATGATTGTGTAAATGAATAGTCATACACATCAGTGGTCGTACACATTAATGGCCATACACATGAATTTTCCCACCCACCAACACTCCCACCCTACATATCACTCGCCAAAACCGGAAACAAAACCCCCTCATGCCCACTCCCCAACTCCCTCATCGGCACCCCATACCCCGTATCCGCACCAGGTACCGCATCCACAAACCCGCGCCTCTCGCGCGCCACACCCAGCTGGTCCAGCAACTCGGCCGCCTTGTTCGGCATGTAGGGCTGCAGCAGAATACCCGCTATGCGCAGAGACTCGGCGGCGAGGAAGATGATCTTGTCGACTTCTTCGCCCGGTTCGTCGGGGGCGTAGCTGAGGCATTTGTCCCAGGGTGAGGACATTTGGAAGAATTTGTTTGACTGGGTGGAGGGGGGAGTTAGTTTTGGGTTTGGGGAGTGGGGGGATGGTGATGCACGTCAAGGGGGATGCATGTGTATCTGTGTGGAATAGAAATGAATATAAACGTACCCCGCGAACAAATTCAGAAATCAAAAGCGTGGCCCTGCGCGGATCATACGTTTCAAACGCATCGTCCATCTGCGCAGCCACATTGCACAGGCTATTCTTGTAGAATTTCGAGCCGGGCCCCTCGGCCCATTCGTCTGGCGATCGGCCACCTACGCGTTGCACGGCGCCGCGGACGCTCCACTTCTTGCCGCGCATGACGCGCGAGGCCATGTTGCCCAGTTGCTGGCTGAGAAAGGTAGTGTATAGTTTGATGATGCGGGAGTTGTCGTAGTTGCCATCATCGACGGTACCGCCGTCGGTCGCGAGGTAGAAGCGCATGACGTCTGGGCCGAAGCGGTCGAGGGCGTGAAAGGGGTCGACGACGGTGCCGGTGGATTTTGACATTTTCTTGCCAAAGAGCGTCCAGTGGGCGTGCGTCATGATTTTCCGGGGCAGTGGGAGGTTGAGGGCCATGAGGAAGGCGGGCCAGTAGATGCAGTGGAAGCGGACAATGTCTTTGCCAATCACGTGGCAGTCTGCAGGCCAGCCGCCGGCGTGTTCGTAGCCTGGGGCCCAGGGATAGCCTGCTTTGGTGGCGTAGTTGAGGAGCGCGTCGAGCCAGACGTAAATGGTTTGCGTGTCGTCGCCTGGGACGCGGATGCCCCAGTTGAGGCGGTCGTAGGGTCGAGATATCGAGAGGTCTTCGAGTCCGGATTCGACGGCGGCTATGACTTCTTTCATGCGGTGCTCTGGGGTGATCCATTCGGGGTTTTCTTTGAAGAATTGGAGCAACTTGTCGCGGAAGAGGGAGAGGCGGAAGTGGTAGTTTTCTTCAGAGGACCATTCGACTTCGCTGCCTGTTTCGATGGACGTCTGACGATTCGATTAGCTTTTTTCTTCCCGTAGTGACTTGCATACGGACTATAATCTTACGCCCTGTGACGGGGTCAAGCCATGGCTGTACACCAGACTGGGGATAGAAACACTCGTCTGAGACAGAGTACCACCCCTCATGCTTCTGCTCATATATAAGGCCCTTCTCTTGCAGCAAGAACTGTCTGCCATCAGCTGCTGTGGCTTATAGCATGCTATTCAAAATAATCATACCCATGCGTATTGCACTGCGTCCTTATGCTCCCTGTCTGTCGTGCGTACGAAGTGGTCGTTTGCAATTTCAGCTTTCTTCGCGAGGTCCTATCAATTGATCTTAGCACTACCCTCTCCATACTCCTAATAGCATACAAGACATACTTTGAATATCTCTGCGCCCCTGTCGCAAAATGTCTTGGGGTCTACCCCCGCCTTCGCCGCCGCTCTCTGAATCTTCAACCCATGCTCATCCGTCCCCGTACAAAGCAAGGCCTTTTCTCCTTTCAGGACATGCCACCTCTTATGTATATCCGCCAGAACCATAGTATACAAGTGGCCGACGTGAGGAGCAGCATTTACGTAGAAGATGGGCGTGGTGATATAGTATGGTTTTTTGGCGGGCGGTTGAGTCGCGAGATATCGTCGATTGAATTGGCTACGGAGTTCACACGAGGTGCATATCCACGGCGATGCGATATTTGGCCTTGGAAATGCCCTTCGCAAGGTGGAAGCCGTGCGATTGGCTATTCGGGCGTGCATCCTTGGGATGGGGCTTCACACTGGACAGTCGCGAAGCTCTCCGCAGTTTGAAGCGCGAAAGCACGTGCAGGGATGCTGATTCAGCACATACCGGTATGGCACTTCACGCGACATTCCTCAGCCAGGAGATTACAACCAACGGCGATTAGCATCACTTTTAGACCCTCGCCAGGAATTGAATAAAAACTCTTCTTATAACAAACGTAGTCCTTGGGATGATTGATCCGCTCGCTGGTCAAGTCCTAGCACCACTGATCAGTTCATGGGCTGTTGCTTCATTTAGACTTTCGAGCATATTTCATCTCATCTCATTGTCATGTCTCCATATTCTCTTCACATCTGTCTCTCGCATTTCAACTCATTGACTATCGCGTTGAATCAGTTCCTGTCATTCCATTTCATATCCTGTTGGTTATCTTTGTCTACGCATGAATATTAACACTACTCGCATTATTACCAGCTGCCTAAGTTGAGCTCAAATGTCATGCAGTATATCTGTTGCATGCAATTCTTCGATTCATTCTGACTAAGATTAAAACTACAACATCTTGGCATTCAAGACAATCGAGGCAATCAATGCGATGCTACCGCCGTTCTCAGCACCCCGTCAGCACCTGGAAAACGCCTTTTCAGGGCTAGACATGTGGTCCTCAACGAAAGAAAACATAGTTTGTACGCAGATCCCGTCACATTGGCCAGTGACCGATCACTCGCTGTGTTCTGGGCTCTGCCAAGCCTCACCGCTATTGAGGCTATTCAGACCCCGAAAAGGCAATCTGAATACCACGCCTTCACTACGCATTTCATTTTTAGTTACAGGAATCCCTTGTTGTTTCTTTTGATTTTCTATCCTCTTTGTACAATTCTGGTTTAACTGATAGATACAGAGCTCGATGGCCTTTTGGAACAGGGACGGTCGTGGCAAGCGAGGCTCTTGGGCAAGAAATGGCCTCAACCTACTGGAACGATGCTCCAAATCTGGACTTCTGTCGAACTTCGCTCACAGAGCTCCCTCAAAGACTTCACTTCATTGATGAGTGCCGCTTGCCAATCTGATGGGAGACTGGGTCACTCCACGCTCAACCGACACATTGAGCGTTGTTCCGATTTGTCCTATTGAACTTATTGACAGACAGTGAAGAGTGACAAAACCTACTGTACTTCCTACAACCCCTTTGTTATATACTGACAGACTCCTCGAACTTAAATACTCACCATATCAACGCCTATCCTCTCACCACCGACTACAACAATCACCACTTCACTCATCTGGTCCAGTCGACACACGATTCTCCAACTTATACCATTCATTATCACCCCCATCTGATTCTTCACCATGAGATTCAACGCCGTCATCGTCGCCACCATCCTCGCCGTCACCGTCTCCGGTGCCGCTCTCCCCCAGGAGTCCGCCCCCGCCCCTGCCACCATCGACGACACAACCGTCGAAGTTGAAGAAGCCGAGGAAGCAGACTTTGAAAAGCGCGACCCAGGCCTTCGCTACACACGCTGGAGACCCGTCGGAACCGTCTTCGGCAAGCGCGAGGCCGCTGCTGAAGCCGAAGCCAAGGTCCGCTACACCCGCTGGAGGCCCGTCGGCACCGTCTTCTCCAAACGCGAGGCAGAAGCCCACGCAGAAGCCGAAGCCCTCTTCCAGAAGCGCGAGGCTGAGGCGTCTGCTGAGCCCGGGTACACCCGCTGGAGGCCCGTTGGCACCGTCTTCGGCAAGCGCGAGGCAGAAGCCCACGCAGAAGCCGAAGCCCTCTTCGCCAAGCGCGAGGCCGAGGCGTCTGCTGAGCCTGGGTACACTCGCTGGAGGCCCGTTGGCACTGTCTTCGGTTGAATAACTAAAGATGGGTTCATTGGGCTGACGACATGGCTTCCACCGCTACCATGACGACCTCGGCTTCCCCTTATCATCTCATCTCTTCCTCTACTTCTCCCACGCTTTGCTCCGCTCTTGCACATAATCGGACAGGGCCTGTGTCCTTTTTTATCTCTGCTCTTGCAATACACAATAGTCCTCTGCAGGACACGTTGTTCTCCGTCGTCTCAACGGGGGGTTGTTGGGCGTACCAGTTCCCCTTTTTTTCCCTTTCTCACACTCTCAATCGGTCTGGGACTATCTTGGTTGCGCAAAGGTGGTCTGGCCGTGAAGGGATGGGATGGGACTGGTTCTTTTTCATTTATAAGGATTTATAAGGATTTATCTGTAGTTAGCTCGCTATATCATGTGTCTATCGCATTGAAAGTCAGTGTACATGGTGCGTGTGTGTGTGTGTGTGTGTGTGTGTGTACACGCAACAAGTAATCAAACAGCGAACGACTCCCCACCAACAAACCCATCCTCTACCCCTGACAACATGAATTCTCATCCCCAAAACAAACCAGAACAACAAGCCAAACGACAGCACCAAGCCCACCCACTCCCCCCTCTTGTCCACCGCACTCACACTCAATGCCATACAAACCTGCCATGCGTCGGACGTCAGCTATTGCACATACTAGGTGCCAGATATCCCAGGTGCCATGCATACCAGGTCGTAAGCAATCTTGATCTCGCACCTAAACTCGGTCCTGTACTTCTACTCATACCCATCTGTGCTTGACCTCGTATCTTCACTCAAACCCGAACTCGTGTCCAAAAGAAAAAGAAAAAAAGAAAAAAAAGGAGATTCCACTTGGCACCGAAGCCAGGACCGAAACCAGGACCAACACGGACAACAGTAAAGACAGAAAGGGAGGGAGTAAAATGGTGATGCGGAAATGGTCGGACAAGACATTTCCAAATCCCAGAAAGCACTCCAACCTCCCAACCTCCAACCTCCCGAGCACGCGAGCACGCGAACAAAACTATTCTTCGCGAAAGAAACACAAAAATTGGACAGTCTTTTGGTATGCTCTGATGTGATGTGATGTGATATATTTTAATTCGTTACACCTCGTTCCATCTTGATTCATTTCATGTCGTTCAATCGTGATTTCATCGTGATACCTATATATTGCCTATTCCATTTGCCATTCCATTTGCCATTATCTCACACCCATCTACCTCCTCCCTTCTCCCCTTGCCCTCTCTTCCCTTCTCCCTCCTCCCAAGCCAACCCCACCAGCAACCGCCAAACCGCCAAACCCCCCAAGAAAAACCCCACCCACAAAAACACCAGAAAACAAACCCCCACTCCCACATTACCACCCCCAAAGCCAATCTCCCCTTCCCCTCTCAACGACCTCGCGGTCTCCACTACAACATGCAAGTCTTCAAGGGTGCGGAAAGAGAAAACAAAGAGAGAGAGAAAGTGAGAGAGAAATAGTGGTAGTAGCGTGATATGTAGCCAAGTCAAGCTAAGCTATACCATGCCGAGCGTTCAAGGTAGAGAGGAGAGCGATGGTTTATTTGCGATGCTGAAAACACACACACCAAGACACAAAATACCAACTATTGAAAAAAAACCCGGTACAAGAGCAAATATGCAAAAAAAAAAGTATGTGACCCAGGGCAAAAAGGTACAAAAAGGGTATATAGTAAGCCGTTGCGAAATCTCCCCCCAAGGTCCAAAAGAACCAGTGTAAAAGGGCGAAAAGATATAGGAAATAGAAATAGAAATGCGCATATGGGAATACCAAAAGACTGATCATGGACGCTCGCTTGCATAAGAATAAAAGAAGAGGGGAAAAGGGAGGAGATTTCAAAAAAGATTCGTTTACACGCCCGCACCATTGACGGTGACTTCGTAGCCGTCATGCTTGGCCTTCATCGCCTTTGCAAGCATGAGCTCGCGCATCCAGTCGATGCGGGTGTCCTTTGTGGTGGTGGCAAAGTGGTGAACCTTGCCGTGGGCCGTGACTCTCTTGGCCTCGGTCTTGCCCGAGGAAGGGGCAGTGGGCACGAGCTGGAACTCAAACGCCGGGTTGGTCACGTTGTCCTTTTCCTTGTAGTGACCCGAGGAGAGCTTGAGGGCCTTGAGCTTGGCCGAGAGCTTGTTCGAGGCCAGAGAGGAGCAGGCCACGGCGTAGTCGTCCACGTCAATGGTCTGCAGGGCCGACGAGGAGGGCAGCTCGTTGGGATGCATGGCTAGCATCGTGCCTTGCAGACGAAAGTGGTGGTCCTGCCACTCGTGTCGCAGAAGCTTGGTACGACGCTTCTTCATCCAGCCATGGTGATTGACACCCTTGTACATGAAACCTCCCTTGGGGAGCGGGGCCACTGTATCAGCAGCTTCCGTCTCGAAACGTTGAGCAGCAGCAGCAGAAGGCCTCGTGGGCGACGAATCAGGGCTGTAGTCGAAGAATTGGGTGCCACGAAGAGTGTCGTCGTCGGAGTGCGCCGTGGGGCTGAAGACACGGTCTTCGTCTAGCGCTGGCATGGGAAGAGACGGTCGGCGCCGGTCATGACGCGATCCGGCCCTCTGGATTGGGTTCTTGTACTGCATGTTGGGAGGCACGGACTGGCTCGTGTCTCGTACCACGGGCTCTGGTCGTACAGCTGTCACAGGCACGTCCATCTCGGAGAAGGGTGTACCGAATCGGTAGACGCCTCCTGGGGACGCTGTCCTACATGGAGAAAAGGCGGTGTCGGGTACGGGGTGCTGTTTCGTTGGGACCGCGCTGCGAGCGTTACCATAGGGTTGGGCAGATAGCGAACGAGCTGGTGGGATGGTCAATTTCGGGAGACTCTTGAGGTTGTTGTGGGGCGCTGGCACAAACTCAGCAGGGTGCAGTTGGGATGGTGTGGTAGAGAAGTTGTCAAAGGACTTGGTAGTGTGCGCAGATGTTGATGCAGAAAAAGCCGAGACTTCTGGTTGGTGGTGGTGCTGGTATTGTTGTTGCTCAGGAATCACGAGGAAAGGACGGGGAGGGAAGAGTTCCATAGGGGGCGTGGGAGGGGCCTCAATGGGCGTTGCGCTGGTGTATGGACGGTCCATGCCCTGGAGAGAGAGAAACTGTCGCACATTGTCTTGCGGGTCACGCTTCTCCACTTTCTGTAACTCTTCCAGGGAGAAGTCTGGTAGCTGGCCGGGCCCAAGGACATCAGATGATGCTACCACAGATGGTACCACGACCGACGTAGCAGTCTCCGAAGCCGGACGGTAGACATTCTCGACGGCTCGGAGCGCGGTTTGAGGATTACCGGGATTGCCTGCGATGAAGATGTGGCCTCCTTTTTCGGGCGAGATGGGGAACCCGTGCTCTTGCTGGAGTCGAGCGAGTTGTCGTTGCTGTTTCCTGAACTTGGAGCATCGCTCACCCCTATTGCACACATGCGGCTTCGGTAGCAGTTGCTCGATGGCCACAATCGAGACGGAATGCGCGGGAGTGATTGCGTCGTTTGCTTGATGACGACGCTGTGACTTGTTTCGTCGACCTCCTGTGCGACCTTTGCTCTTGGACCTGGTTCTCGCTTCCGCGCAGGGACGCTCAATGTCTTCAAAGGGAGTGGGAATGGCCGCAGGTGCGACGGGAGACATGAGGCCCTCGGACGTGCGCAGCGAGTCGATCTGATTCCACAATTGATGCCTCTTGCCAAACGATTGAATCTCCAGCTCCTTCAGGTCATCAAACTGAAGATCCAGTAGGACGGCTCCCGTAATGTCGTGATCGAGGAAGCGTTCAATGACCTCATCCTCAAATCCGTTCTGATACATCCAGGTGGCCACGTCTTGCGATGTCCAGGCTCGCACTTCAGCGTTGTCGAGATGAGCGACGGCCAGTGCGATGTTGTTGTATTCGAGCTGTGGCACTACCGTCTCCGGTGTCGCCTCTCGAAAGGATGTCTGGAGTCGGGATGGCGGTTCCTTGGGAAGGAGCGGAGACATTTGCAGAGCATAGTCGTAGGGGAAGTCGTTGGATGAGGACGAGGCGCGGAAGAGATGTGGTCCTCTGGGGCCCTCGACCGGCTTCTCCATGTACCATTCGGCATACTGTGGTCGTATCTCCTCTCCAGGCGTCTGCACTTCTTCAAACGTCGAGATGGTCGTCTGACTTCGCCTGTTGTCAGATGAGCCACTGTATTCCTCGAAATCACTGGAATCATCTTCAATGTCGGTATAGGCCACACTAATGTGCGAAAGTGGGCGCTCGAGGGAAGACCTCGCGGTGAGAGCAGGCGAGAAAAAGGACTGCGCTTTGCTCCTCTGGAACATCTCTGATGGCTCCAGTGGAGTGATGGGTGTCATGGCCTGCTGTAGGGGGGCCACTGTTAGAGCCGTGGTTGTGGTGGAATGACATTGACGTCGAATGGTTACCAACGTACCATGATCACGGTGCTCGTACGCTCAGTAGGGAATTCCAACTTGGACTGAGGTGCTCTAGCAACAGTTCGGGGCGGATAGTCCAAGCATAGCACACACACACATGGACACACTGCAATGGCACGATTTTCGAAAACGGAGAAGGGACCCTACGGGTGGAGAGCGCTTGCGAGTCTTTTGTACAAACTGCTTGGGCGCCGTTGATCGAGAGTGGGGAGAGAGCGTACGCAGCGATGCTACTATCACACTTGAGCTTCTGCATGAGACAAGCCATGCTGGCTACAGCCGTCCACTGAGGGCGCTCGAGAGCAAGCCTCGACACGGGCTTTCCGCCAATGTGCTGGGCGGAGCTTTGTCGCCCGCATGCTGGTCAACGGTTAGGCTGGCGCTTAGACAGGAGCGTTGAGAGAGGTATGAGGGCGCCCATTCGCTGCGGTTGCAGATTGCCTCGGACGCTAATTGGGCTCGATTGGGGAGCATGAATGTCCATTAATATCTTGGGTGGTGATGGTGGTGCGGGGCCCGGGCCAGATGCGGGCTCCGACCAGGGTTCCTCGGGGGGGATCACAATGGGAGCAAGGCCTCTGCCGTCGACGGCAGCGGATCGTGTCGCCGCTCGAGTACAGACTAGATGCAGCGAAGATCTGAGCTGGCTACCGTGCTCTACCATGCGGTCCTGCTGGCTTGCGGTTACGGTTGGGGCATGTCGTCGAACAGTGCAGCCCCGCGGTAACTCACTGTACTGTACGGTGAATACTTGTGGTACCTGTGTACTTACGTAGGGCCGGGGCGGCATCCTCCTCTCCTCCTGTCCCCTCCTCCTCTCTCTGGTGCTGTTCGCAGCCAGGGGGGGGGGACGACGACGCGCCGCTCGGTCCACGGTCAACTGACGCCCTGGAATTTTTTCTCTCCCTTCCCGCAAGGCTTCCAGGCTACTTTGGGCTGCATGGAAAGCGTGCTGTGTCGTATCGTGTCGGCCATGCTTCGGGCTGGGTGGTGGCTCTTGGACATGGATGTGGGCGGGGGGTTTGCAGAGTATCGTCGCCGTGTGTGGCTGGATGGGCGTCGGGGACTCGGGGCGCCGCCTCAAGCGACATCCAATGTGGGCTCCTGTCAGCTGTGGCCCTGCGGGTGGGCTCTCTCTCTGTGTCGAGCCGGACAGCCTCATCAAAGCCATCTGCAGACAGGCGATATTGGCAACAAGACATCACATGGGATCGACTAGCCGATCCGGCTCTTTTTCCTCATTTCTCGTTTTCTCTCTCTCGCGACATGGGAGGATGGAGAAGTCGACGACGGTTACGTGCAGCGGCGGCGGCCAACCGGAGCGGCATGGGGGTGGCCGTTCATGCCTCTTGGCGCTGCTCCCCTTTCACTCCCCCCCAACTTGGGCACCATGCCAAACGCACACTGCAAAGCACCACGATGCTCTTTCTCAACTGCTGTGCGACGACATCCATCTTTTCTCGTCCCCCGTCCAAGTGTGGATATCGCCTTTGACTCATTCCACGCGCATCCCAGCGGCCGCTCTCCCTCGGAAGCCCCAGCCCAACGTGCCGGCCGGCTCTTGCAGACCGCCTTTCCCAAAGCCTTGAAGCACTTGCACTGCACCGCACTGCACTGGGACATTTACAGGCTCCTTTACAAACACAGCATGCAGGCCTTGTGAGTCTGTGACAGCTTGCCATGGAACCCTCCCGTTCCCTTGCCAGCCAACGGGCTTGCCAACACGCTGGCTGGCTCGTGGGCCCGTGACCGTAAAAGCATGCGGCCGGCCGAAAAGATGAGGCCCTCGTGCTCTGCAGGCACGATGAAAGGGAGGTCTGGCAAAGCGTCGTGTTGTGGAAGCGAATCAGAGTGCAGAGATGGCTTGCAGGCACGAGACTACCAAACGATGTGGAGCCACCATGAGGGTGTAGTCCTCTCCAGTACCTCCCTATGTACCACGGTAGGGACCCCACTCTGGTGAATAGGCCGAGTAGGGGAAGACGCAAGCTGGGAAGCTAGAGTAGGTACGTACCAGTCCCTGGTTGGGGTAGTATCTAGGTAGATTGGGTCGGTCAGGCAGGGTAGTACATGGAGATTATCGTGAACACGAAACGAGGTACCAGCGATGCGGTCGTTGACCCGCATAGGTAGGCCGTGGTCAAGTCAAAGTTTGCAGTCCTCGGAGTGGGGGGGGTGTGCATCTGATCTCACAAGACGGTAACTTGGATGGTGGTAGAGTTGATGGGGTAGGTAGGGTAGAGTAGTACGAGGTAGGGTTCAGTGGTCAGATAGGGAATCGAGTCTTGTCTAGCTCGCAGTGGCGCCCACTTTTTGCGGCCTTACTGGCCTTGCCGTGCGTGCGCGTACCGGAGTTTCTCCAGCGAGATGAGTCAACCGGCCATGGGCAAAGGTTGGGCACTTTGTCAGTACCGTAGGTAGGTAAGTAGATGGTATCGTAGTAAGATGGATAGGTATGGATGTACGCATGTACTCCTGAATGAACTTTGGACCGGTCTTGTCCATGTTGCGCTTGACTGTTGTTGAGTTGCCAGACCCCACTGGCTTGTTCTCTCCGGCCAGCTTGCTAGGTACTCGGTACTCGTGTGTGGAAAGGTTCAAGTCTCGTGCAAGAAACGAGCTCCTTCGTCAGCCATGTAGCATGGAAGAAAGTCGCGGCTTGTCGCGGTTGTGAGTGCCTGGAGCCCCTGGAGAGCATGAAGATTACTCGGTGGGGGGGTTGCCGGCAGTCCAGTCAGGCTATGCTACCTACGCGCATGTACAATAGGTGTCATGTGAGCAGTCAACAGAATCATGGTCAATGCTAGGTACCGGTAGTAAGTAGCCATCCAGCCATCCAGCCATCCAGCCATCCAGCCATCCAGCCATCCAGCCATCCAGCCCCGTCCTTGCCCTGCTAGCCGACCACCACGAACCACCAACGACGACAACGACGACCGACGACCGACGACCGACGATGACGGGCAAGCACGACGAGGGGTTCCTTCCTTCACTTCCTGTACTTCAAAGGCCATTCGCCAACTAGGAAGTATTGACTGTCGTTGTCGGTAACCAATCACAGCCCCGGCAGCCCCAGTCCCATCACATCCGAAAAAGGGACTTCGCCTGCCTTTCTCTCGACTCCACTCGACTCTCCGCTCTCTCACCTCACAGCCATCCATACATTCACAGAGACTAATTATGGGCCATTTCCCCCCCCCTTCCCACTTACAGTAGCCAGCCAGGCAGAATTAACGGCCTATACTTAGCCTGAGCAGCCGGGGGTCCCCTGTACAGCAAAAGGCTTGAAGGCTTGGCCTGCCATGGACTTGTCGATAGCCCCTTCGTAAGCTAGTGTGATGAGGGGTCTGATTGGACAGACTAGCAAGTGGCACACTGGCACTAGCCAAAAGCTTGCCATGCACATTCCCACCACATCTTGTCATCCTCCTCCATGCCCAAGCGAGGGAAGCGACTCTGCTCCGCGTGGGGAGAGCAAGCTGGGTGCTGAGTGGTGCAAAAGAGCTTGGAAAAGCCGCATGTCCTGACTCTGGCCTACTACAGGGCCTACTATACATGGCCCTACTCTACACTGATCCTCCATGTCGTGCCAACCAAGCCTGTCGCGGCACACAAAATCCATCTTGGCCCTTCTTCCCCCGCCCATCTCGGAAACCATCGACAAGCGACCTGCCCAACTTGGGTTGCAAAGACCGACCTCGGGACTCTCTTTTCGTCCGCTAACCATCTTTCTCTGCCCAGCCCCGCCCTGCAAAGGATCACGACAGGTTTGTGGAGAGAGAGAGAGAGAGAGAGAAAGAGAAAGGAAGAAAAGACCAAAAAAACCCCCAGACGAATGAGATTGGGCCCCGATCACGGTTTGCGTTACCCTCTTTCTCCCAACGGCCCAATCTGCTAGAGTAGTAGCACATGGTCACACAAGCCCACACACACACTCTCTCTCTCTCTCTCTCTCTCACACACACACACACACGCACCAACAAGTTCGAGCAACAACCGCAGATTGCGCTATCATCACGGCTCACCGTACAACCTGCAGGTGGTACAGAGACTAAGGCAGGAGGCTTCGATTCCATCATGCTCCTGTAGGTACCAAGTACTAGATAGTATGAACTTGGTTCCAAGTACTTGGTCCTGCTCATTTACATCTCTTCATTTGCTGCCTTGGCGTCGTCTGCCTTTTTCTTCATCCATGATCTGCACATATCGCCAAGAGCTAGCCTCTTCTTTTTTTTTTTTCAACGTTCGGACCGGCCACTTATCGAAGCCGCTGCACGTCTTACCCAGACTGATTTCGAAGGCAGCTGTACATGGAGCCGTAGAGAGGGTGACCCAAGCTTCCCTTGGACTGGTGACTAAATGGAGTGAATTAGCCTGCTAAAACAGGTTGCGGGAACCAACGAGCCGATCGATAGCCGTCCAGATGGGCACGGCTAGGTGCTGCACAGTGGCTTGAGCGCGGCGGGTAGCAGTGAGTGAGGGGCCCCAAAATAGCCAAATGGCAAGGAAATGACCCCAAATGTCGACATCAGGCTGCAGGCTGACTGCTAGTCTGGCCAATCGTCAGCCTGCCTCGACGTGCACACATGGCGTTCGCATTTCCCTCTCCCCGTTGGACAACCACCTTGGATCCTAATGACATCCTGGCATCCTGATCATGGCACCAGACTCCAGAAATAGATCGAGCCATATTTGCCAACATTGTCCTCCTTCAGGTAGATATAAGGTACTTATCCTCTTCTCACCTGCCACTTCTCCACGCACACACACACACACACCCCCTCCCCCCCCCTCACAAAACAACATACATTGCATTAAATACATCAAAATGTGGGGAAATCCTTTC